AAAAAAAAGCACACAAACAAACGGTAAGCTAGGAAACATACAGTAAGTTCTCCCTCCTTTATCCTGCATCAGTGAAGAAAGAGTATTAAATTTCAAGACGTTTCATGAAACATGCAACGGTTCCATTTCAAAATAGCAAATGTGTTCTCATGTCAAATGATTTAGACTCAAAGTGGAATTTCTTCTTCATATGACGAAAAAATATATAACTAATGCTAAAACTCTTTGTGGAATCTAAATTGCCAGGATTCACATCTTAAACTGAGATCAAACTATGCAGGTTTAGGGGGAGTTCTTCTTACGGATCCTCTTTATTTACTACACAGCTCCTGCATCTTCCTCCAAGGATTCTGATCCTGATAACTGTTAGAAAAAGGTCGCTCCAAAGACAAGGTATGGTTTTGATCCATCATTTTAATATTACTGTATAATATCTTCTAAAAAAGGATACTGAAGAGATAAACCAGACTCTGTACGACAGGAAGTACTTATACACCGTGTTAGCTCTGGTTTCTAATTTCAAGGGCTATCCAAATTTACAGTGACTGTTTCAGTCAGAATCCAGAGTAACAAAATCTTCAAATAGCAATTTCCCCTTTTTACATTCAGTCTTGCAGTGCTAAGTTAATTCTTAAAACTCCTCTTGAATTTTATTATTGGTGCTCATTTGGCTGGATATCAAGAGAAATGAATGACTTCAAATTGTGGAGATCTGGTGCTTTTGATTTTAGGGCAGAACCAGTTACTGCTGAGCATACTGCTCCAGCTCTGACAAGAGGGTGAAGTGGCCTGCTTCATAATCACATTCATCTAGCCTTCATATATAAAATAATAAGAAGTGCAGATTGTCTAGGAGAGACAGTGAGAAAGGACATGCATGTCTCCAAGTTTTGTAAACGACTCATCAGATGAAGCGAATTCCTAGTACGTGCACATATGAGGACAAGCAGTATAAAGGTCATCCTTTTGATTTTTTAGGCACATTGCTGTATCAGTGCCTAAGACTTAGGGCTTCACAGGCCTGTTTTTTATTAAATCTGCCAGAGATGTAAAGACTTCTGATACTTTTCATTGTACATGACTGTTAATAAGAATAAATTCTTATGTATGAAAATTGTTAATTTTGCAATTAATTGATCACTTCCACTTCATATCTTTTGAAAATAATGCATAATGTACTTGTAGAGGATTGATATGGAGATGGAGAGAGTGGAAGATAAAGCAGAATTCATTATATTTCAAAATGGTAAAAGTATATTCAACTAAATACACATGTCTTTTAGTTTATTTTATCAAGAATGTCTCTCACACAATACTAATTTTGTTTCATATATAGTGATTATTTTCTATCCCATACTATATTACAACATTTGGCAGCAAAGCATAGGTGTTAACTCTAAATGGCACAATTAGTTTTAAAAATAAGAAGCCCCAACACTTCCCAAGTAATGCTTTCAAGCAGATTTGTTCTTCACTCTGTACACATGAATACAAAATTTTCCAAGCCTTGATAGAAAAGACCCAATTCAATCAAAGTTCTCAGGAAGGCATAATCCCCAGTGTACTTGTCTTCCTTTTCCTCTTCATCATTTATCCTGTATCTTATGTCTGGCATTCTAGAAGGTAAATATTTTTCAGAGCTTCTGAAACACCTCAGGCTGTGCCTACAGCTACAGATATGTAACCATATGGTTCCTTAATTACTTAAATCACTATGTAAAGCTTATGTGCTAACATTCAGAACACATTTCACTCTGATGTTAGCCCAAGGGGACCCATCTGATAGCTTGTAACCTCATGACTTTGGCATTGATTGCTTTGCTTGTGTAGGATTTCCTTCACAGCTCTCTCAATAAAAGGGTCATTTCTCGGATGCTACTGACTAAAAGCTGTGGAGTCTTCTCGCTTGAAAATACCACTGTACCGTTATCACTCACTGTATATGCCTACCTTTCCTCCTCTTCACAGTTTTGCCTATGATACAAAACTGGGAAGAGTGGCTGACCCACTGATGGCTGTGCTACCATCCAGAGGGACCTGGACAGGATGGAGAAATGGGCCAAAAGAAACCTTACAAAGTTCAGCCAAGTGAAATACCAGGTACAGCATCTGCAGAGGAATAACCTCTAGCATCAGCAAAGGCTGGGGACTGACTGGCTGGAAAGTAGCTCTGCAGAGAAGGGCCTGGGGGTCCTGGTAGACAGCTAAGCTGGACATGAGCCAGCAATGTGCCCTTGTGACAGGAAGGCTAACATCATCCTGGGCTGCATTAGGAAGAATGCTTCCAGAAAGCTGAGGGAGGTGATCCTTTTCTTCTGCTCAGCACTGGTAAGCCACATCTGGAGCACTGGATCCAAGCACAGAGCTCTCCAGTGAAAGAGAATCATAGACATACTGGAATGAGTTCAACAGAGGGACATAAAAATGATTAAGCAGTTAGAGAACTCAACATATGAGGAGAGGCTGAGAGATCTAGGACTGTTCAGCCTGAGGATGAGAAGGCTTAGGGGTATCTTACTCATCTGCATGGATACATGGATTTACCTGAGTTAAGAGGACAGAGCCAGGCTCTTTTCAGTGGTGCCCACTGACAGGACAAGATACAATGAGCAAAAAAACAAAGAAAAATCAATTTAAACAAAAGAAAAAGCATTTGTTTAGCATAAGTGTGATCAAACACTGAAGCAAGTTCCCCAGAGAGGCTCTGGAGTTTCCATCATCGGAGATTTTCATTTGTGACTGCACACAATCCTGAGCAAGTTGTTCGAGCTGACCCTGCTCTGCAAGGGCTAGGGCTACAGACTTTGGGAAGTGCCTTCCAGACTCAACTTCTATGCGATTTTGTAGCTCTACAGTAGCAAATTTTTTTTTTTTAAAAATCATACTTAAAGGCAATTTACTTATTTCTTGCTACAATTAAAAGTTTCAAGTTTTGTAAATTATGTTGCAGAAACTGCTGGATTTCTTTGATCTTCTCCCCTGAAATATGAGGGAAAAAAATTACACTGCCACCTCCTAGTGAAAGAATAAAAAGAATTTTATCTCTAGTAAAAGAACAAGAATATTAACTGCATTTCATTAAAAAAACAACCAAACAAGCATTCCTACCCTATTTCAATAAGACTGAAGATTATTAAAAACATTTTGTCATTCATTTTCCTGATGGTGTGTGTCCATCACTTGCACACTGGAAAACACTGTTTTCTGTAGTTTTGTCAGAGGGAATCCTTTGTTTCTTATTTGTTAATGTTGTCTATGAGCATTCTGTGACTGAATAATCATAATCTTTGATTATGACCAATCTGTGATTGAATGTTATAGTCCTGCTACCAAGCAGAATTCCTCCATCTCCATATCCTTCATTCTCTCATCCTATTATCTCTTCTTATCTGCTTTTCTCAAAAATATATGGCAACAATAATTAAGTCCATCTCAATGTTTGAACCATATTCTCAAACATATCCACTGGTGTATTACATTTCTGCTGATTGAAGTAATCATCATGCCAGGGCTATGGGAATGGACAAAATGAGACTGGCTATTTGCTAAACTGGAATTTTTCTATTTCCAGGATCATCATATCGCAACAAAAGTGGTATCTTTCTGTATTGTGTGATATTATCAGTAGAAAGTTTATATTACTAAGGTAGATTTCAAACACAGTTTAAGTCTCCACAGAATAAACAGATTTTGGAGTATTTTTCTCCTCAAGACCTGCACTAAAATAATACAGCTAAACTGTCCTTTTCAGTAAGTATGCTGTGCACTATCTTCAAAACTCTTCTCCAGCTAGATCATTTCTGCTTGAAATCTTGTCTTCTGGCTTCTATGAAACTTGCCCATCTCAAACTCAATCCAACTCCACATTTTTTCTTTTTAAACTTAACTTTACTTTTCTAATTTTTTTGGATAATGAATACACTGAAATCTGTTGCTGGTTGTCCCATCTTCTCTATATCCTAATTTCCCATCTTCATGTGATCCCACTCACTCAATGATACTCAGCTCCTATTTAT